TTGTTTAACATCCTTTTGAAGACCGGCAACAATGTGGACTAATTCTTTCATTCCGTCTGGAACTTTCATAGTTCTATTATATGCACCCTTTTTGTTTGTTCCTTGTTTTAATGGAACCTGTAGAAGATTTGCAATTTCTGTCATGTTTAATTATAAATAAAAAATAAAAATTAATTATAAAAAGTTATTCGAATTTAATGGAACCTTTATTTAAATCAACTATTATTTTTCCATGTTCTCCTAATTGTTGATATTGTGTGTAAAGTTCATTAATGCTCATTGGTAAATTCACTTGATAAAGCATAACGTTCAACTGTTGACGACTAAAACCACTGAAAATGAAAAGGGTGGACAGGTTTGATTTAATGTTTGTGCTTAATGCTTTAAAGTATTGAACAGCCATGAAGAATGAACACTGAATGTGTCGACATTGAGTAATTGATTAAAATATGATTTCTCATTAGTTATTAGTTTTGATTTCACCATCATCTAGAAAAATGAGTGAATGCAAAAATTCTCTATCAAAATTTGAAATAGAAAGTGTTTCAAATAATTCATCCCGTTGTTTATCAATAATTTTATCCTCTAATCCTTGCTTCTTGATTGTATTATATAATTCTTTATACATTACAAAGTTTTTTAAATAATCTTCTGCTTCTTCTTGTGATAAATAAATAATTGGAATTTTGATTAAATGCTTTAAAGATTCAAATGTATCATCTGAAGGTGAACCTGAACGGTTGATATAAATTAACACATGTGAATAGGGTGAAGTGTTAGCAATAATGATAATTTGTTTTAATATCGTTAATGTTTTACCTTTATTTTGTTTACCAATTGCTGCAGTGATTGAATTTAAGTAACATTCAGAATATGGAATTTTCATTAATTTTTCCTTAGATAGAGCATTTCTATTATCACTCAATGCTTCATTAATCATATCATCTACGTATGTATTATATACTCCTGCTAATTCTTCATAAGGGGTGGATGAATTTAAATCCATTTAATCAAAAATAAATTTATAATTTTAAACATTTCTATTCATCAATATTTCATCATATGAACTTCTATACTGCGGTGGTGTACCTGTTGGATGATATTTCAAACCTTCATCCGGTGTCCATGTCCAATATGTAGTCCTAGTAAACCAAACCTGAGGAGGATTTGTCACTTTTGAACAGTAAGTGTCATTTTCACCCTGAATGATTGGATAAGCTTTCACTTGTACTGTAACTTGTGAGTTGAAAGTTTCTAATCCATCAAAGAATATACCCGCTCCATCACGTTGAACTGGAATAGTGCATAAGAATGAAGTTTGGTCTTTCCATGTTCTAGCTAATGGCGTGCCATCATCATCATTCAGTGGTCTAGTTAATGAGTCCTCGTATTCTTCTGTGCATTCATTCACTCCATCTAAATCAGAAGCTTGAAGCATACGTGTAAAGAATATGTCACCCACTGTGGTCATCGCTTGATCGGGGAAGTTTCTGGAATCTATAGTGACCTGAAGACCTCGAAGCATTGGATTTTCTAAAACCGTTCTTTGCATTGCATTCTTCGGAAATGTTAACACAACATCTGTAACATTATGAAGAGCGTATGAGAAATCTGAGCTAATACCTTCAGGAGTGATGCAACCTCCATTTAGTGAACGAACGTCAATATGTTGAGCTGGAATCATGAATGGATCTTCCTTACTAAATAAACGTGGTATTGCTTTAACTGATTCTTCAATTAAACCGTATCCTGGTGTAATGCATTTATCCTCTAAAACTTCCATCTTTGTGCATGAAATAATAACGTCTTCAACTGTTGCGTCAGCAGATGTAGCGGCTAAGCTTGTAATTAATTTGGCAGGAAGTCCGATTTGTTGGAATTTGCGATCATATTTATAAACATGATTCATAATCTTTTCATAATTTTCATCAGTTATCTTTTCATAAACGTAATTTTGTAAATCAGCAACTCTTAACGGGTCAACCTGACAAAATACTAAAGTATCCCTGAAAACATAATATTTAAGAATGATTTCACCAAATGATTTAGGATAATCATCGAACGCCTGAAATGCTAACAAATCATTTACCGGAATAATCATATCAAAAGTGACATCAACTTCTTCATTTGCTTTCTTGAAAACTTCTGAAGGGTCAATATATTTACCACATACTGAGTTATCATATTTTTGAACATTATTATATAACGAATGAACAAACTTTTTAACTTTCCTTTCTGATTTTGGTTTATATGTTGCAAATGCGAAAGATTCACGGGCGCAATCCATCTGAAGATAACCAGCATCACCTCTTTCGGTTTCTACTTCTAATTGTTTAAAGCTTTGATTTGATGATTTAAAACCAACGAATAAACGCATGCATTTAAAAGCGGCATCACATGTGAAAGCTTTATTTGAAACTAGAGTTGCTTTAACTTTGCGTTTAATATATGTGTCACCTAATTGGTTCACATCATGAGCCGGATTTGTAATTCTTAAATGAGTTTGTTTATCATCAAAATATGGAGCATCAGAGTCATAGCATGAACTTTCAAGTTCTCTATAATATCTTCTACCGTCATTCTTTGCGAATATTTCATTTATCTTTTCGAATGAATGAAACACATTTCCATTAATCGGTTTAGTGTTTGGCACTAAATAGTTAGTCGTCATTTATTATTAAATAAAAAATCAAAATTAAAAGATGAAAATGAATTTTTAATTTTAATGAAATAATCAACTATGGCTGCAGGATTCTTTAAGAAACTGTGGGATAAAGTAAAAAGAGGAGCGCATAAAGTTTGGGAAATTAAGAAAGGAGCAAATTGGATATTTAAGAATAAAGAAGCAATTAGTGACGTTGCTGAACAAATAGCACCTAATGTTCCGGTAAGGGAAGTATTAAATAAAGGAGATAAGGTTTATCGTCGACTACAACCGATACTAAGATAAAAATAATATTTATTTATTTTTCCACTATCTACCCCCTATTTTATTAAGTATTCCTTCAGCAATTCCACCAACTGCGTTACCTGCTTGTGCTCCCATCGCTGGATTACCTGCTTTAGCACCTAATACTCCTCCTATGATAGTTCCTGCCGTTTTCGCTACTGGTGCCAAAAAGTTTGCAACGGGTTTAATAATCTTTTGATGAACCCAACTTGCAGCTTTCTTAATTCCTTCCCATAATTTTTTAAAGAATCCTGCCGCCATCTCTGATTTAATATTAATTAAAAAATATATTTCATCACTTATATTCTAATTTTTATTTAATGATAAATGAAACCGATTTTAAAAATAAATGAAACAGAGGAGGAAGAAATAAATGAAAGTGAAAATGTTCAACAAAAAATAAACGTTGTTAAACCAATTACTGAAATAAAAATTTTTTCATCTGTTGATGAATTTAATGACTATTATGCTAATAATAAAAAATTATTTGAAGAATTGACAACATGTAAATTGAATAAAATGTTTAAAGTTGAGGACAGAGTCCAAGACCCAGAGGGTCATGGATTCAAAATTTCAAAAATAAAAGGAGTGGTTAGTTTGAAATCTATTCCTCAATCAAGAATCACCTCATTAATGAAAATTGATGATTTAACAAAAAGAATAGAAATTATTGAAGAGCGAATAAATCAAATATTGATTTCATAAATCATGACTCGTTGAGCCCGGGTCCTTAAAGCTCAAGGCACAAAGTGCCCAGGACTTAAAGTCCATCACTGAGTTCAAGGTTATATTCATCAAATATTTCATTATTAAATGCAACTTCTGCTAGTTTATTTATTTTTTCAATACGATCATTTGAAAGTCTATCGTTTAATTTTTTCTGAAGTTTTTCATTTTCTAGTTCTGAAACTTTATTTGGATGATATTTAAATTCATGAAATTCTTTTTCCTCAGTTTTAATCATTAATTTACAAAGAACTTTTGTGGTTGGAATTCGTTTAAACCATTTATCATTAATATTTGTTATAAATTCAATATCTGGAATTAATTCCCAAATTTTTGCATTTTCAATTAATTTATTATCAAATGCAAAAGCAATAGGTTTAATATTAAACTTACCTTTATAATATATACTTTCTACATAATCATCGAAATAAACATCTACTTGTTTAACATTTTCAAGAATTGGTGAAAGAACATCCATTAATTGATTGACGGTTACGAATCTTGATCCACTCATTTTCATACGAATTAAAAAAATAAATTATTCAAAAAATGTAAGACATGAATTTTTAAAGTTTATTTTTCATTCATGAATGATAATTATATCTGATTTCTTTTATTCTCTCGTACATACTAGATTTGAAGAATTCGGAACTTTTACCATAATCTCCTAAATGTTTTCTTATCCCTAACGTGTGCCAGTTATTATATGAAACTGTATAAACTTTATCTTTATCTTTACACTTTCATCACTTCCAATATATTTATATCTCAGTTTTGATTTAGCATTTTCATATTCATTAGCGTTTAATAATTCACAGTCTTCCTTTTTAAATTGATGTTTAAGATATTCAGGATTTAATACTCTACGTTTATATGCTCCTAACTTAGTTCTAAAGGTTTTTCTACAAAATTTAGGAATTCCATCCTCTTTAATGTCATCAATGATTTCCATTTCATTATTTTCAATTTCTTCTTCTCGTTTATGAGGTCTTTGATTATGACTCCATTGATTCCATGAAATTAAATATTCTTTATCATTATATTTATACCTCATTAGCTTATTTTGGCTTTCATATTCATTTAATAATTCACAATCTTCATTTTTAAATTGAAGTTTAACCCATTCAGGATTTAAACAATGTTTAATTAATCGCGGAATATCTGACATCATCTATATATAGTTTCTTTTATAAAAGATAAAAAATAAATTATTTTAAAATTAATGTTAATTTTTTAATGATTTATAAATAAATATATTTTAATGCATCGTCTATATATAGATGCAACAAAAAAAGTCACACAACCCGCACTCATATACTACTTATTATTCTTCTTTTTCTTTTTCATCTGGCTCAATAGAAACTATAAACTCTGGTCTGTTGACATGAATTCCACGAGTTTCAAGAGCAGCTTTGAGATCTGAAACTTGAATATCTAATTTCTTCTTTTTCTTGTCTTCTTTTGCTCTGAGTTTAGCACATTCGCAGCATTTCGTCATGACATCGCTCATAAATTTTTGACAAACAACGTTCATAATATGACTAACACGAATATCGTTTGTATGCATTCCGCATTCAGATAAAATTTGTTTGATAACACTATCTGGAATTGGTGGTGGGTAATCTTCTAACTTTTGAAGGAATTGTTCAATTTCTTTGGCAGCTTGTGGGGTTGGGAACTCCATTTTTACAAAACTTAGTTGTCACTTTTTATATCATTGGTTCATCATTCCATAAATTGGTCTACAACCATTGTTTTCAAGACAATAGAGAGAAAGTCTGAATTCAGCCAATTAAATTTAATTATCTCTATTATTCAAGAATATCAAGAAGATCTTTTGGGTAATCTTTAGTCCATTGACTTAGCAATCACACCATTTTTCTTTCAGCTTAGAATTTTTTCTATAACGAGAAGATATATGTTAAATGTAGTTGAATTTCAAAAAATTAATATGCTTTTGTTTGATCGTCCAAAAATTTTACTAGTTATTCTAAGTGTAATATGCGATTTCTTTGGTCATTTGAAAAAGAAATGAAAGTTATGAACAAAATATTTTAAAATAATAAAATATATCACAATTACTCATCAAGGTATTGTGCGAATACACTCAAGATGTTAACACGAATCTGGAATTCATCGATTTTATCTGGAGATAACTGGTTTGAGTCGAGAAGCTTATTAAGACGTTCGCGTTCCTCAGTAATGAAGGATTCACCTTTCTCGATGACCTCTTTCATGACTGTTACGTAGTACTTTGTGCCTTCAACTTGTTCCATATCTGAGATATACTGTGGTCTGCGGCCTTTTGTAATGAAATCTTCGACGATTTGGGAAACTTCATCGATAACGCCAGCTTCAGCGTGGAGACGGCCATTCAAACCTCTCATTGTACCACAATAATCGTTAATGAAGTCGATTAAATCATCAGCTGTCTTGTGGCCTTCGTACTTGATTGGATCTGTTTCATCCTTGCACCAAAGGCGGCAATCTGGCATAAATGTAAGATCATAGTCCCAATTGAAGAATTTGTAAAGATCTGTATCAATAGCGCAAATCTCGACACGGTCATCATATCTGAAAGCATCAGCAACCTTACGCATGGCTTCAAGGAATCCGGAATCTCCTTTAGATGAAGGATTGTAAAACATGGCGAAGACGCAGTGTGTCTTGTTGATGAGCTCCTTGAAAACACGGCCATTTGGCTTCCTAAGTGCGAATGGAAGTTCCTTTGGACGAGCACCTGTAAGGCCTGTAGTCCAGCGAGCAAGAGACTCATGGGACATACCGCCATCATAAATGGAAACGCCACTTTGGTTGTAAAGACGAATTTGTGGAGTCATTGAAACACCCATTTTATAACAAAAAGAGTGGAACTTGCCGCAGTTAACAGCAGCGACCTTAATACCTTCAACACCGTCGAACATCATTGAAAGGAAGTCCCATTGTTCATCAAGAGCAAGGGAATTTGCGCGGTGAGATGAGAAATAACGAACGAGAGTTGGAATTGGGCCAAGAGCTTCATGTTCGAAGTTGTTTGGGTTAAGTGATTTATAAAGTATATCACCAGCTGAAACAAAAGAACCAGCAATTAGGAAAAACATCTATATTTTAGAATTTACGGTTTTGACCAAATAGAAGATTTCTAATTAATAACTTGGATTTAATTATAAATTTAAACTCAAATCGGAATGATAGTTTTATGAGAATCATTTTCAGGACAGTTTTTGGGGAATGGAATTGTTTTCCATGAAAGATATCATTTTACTATGAATAGTTGTTCTTTTATTAACAATAAGGCTCCTAAAAATTCCTGGTTGATATATAACCATTTTGATGACTTAAAGATTGATAATTGTTACTTTGACAATTCGATTCCAGAAAAATTTGCCGATGAAAATGCAGTATCTATTAATCATCCAAGAGATCCATTTACTAACAAATTGATTCATCTTTCAACTGGTAATTGCCAAGCAGAATTTGCAATTATCAATAAAAGTATTTCTAAAGTTAAGTAGCTTCCTCTTTTCTTCATTTCTTTACTAAACATTAAAAAGTCTTAATAAATTAATGATTTGCTAATTCATATTTTCTGAAGAACTAATTTAGTGCATTAGTAAATGTATAAATTAGAGATCCGAATTATTGTATTTCTTCAAATTAGGAAATGTAAACATTAAAATGTTGAAAATCTCAAATAATCAATTTCACTCAAATATCTAAAAAAAAACTTAATGAAAGAAGATGTTACCAAGAGATCCAATAAAGTTTACTCGTTGGAAACACGGTATGGGCGGAGTTCGTATGTATCCTTGCCAGAAGCGATAACATGGAAGCGAGAGCGGATATCCTTCTTAGCGAGGAACTTACGAGCGTAGTAGCGGCAAGCGCGCTTTGAGTACTTAACAGAAGCGTTAACTACAATCTTGTTAGCGCCAGCATCAGCTTCGATTGTGACCTTGTTTGCGAGGTTCTTGCGGAGGTTGTCGACCTTCATGTGGGATTGAAGGTATTCGACGAACTCCTGAAGCTGGAAGAACTTATCGGCAACTGGAGCCTGGCAGTCGATGTAGAAAACAGAAGACATGACCAAAAAAGGCTGACGATTATTGTAAAACTTTCTCAATATCGATAAAAGTGACAATTAAAAGGAAAAATTCTCCATTATTTAATTATTGCTTCCAGCATCATAATTCCTCAGCCTTCATTCTTGAGTATGGTCATACCGACAGAAAATCGCACAATTTCAGCTGAATTACGATGATTATTCCTATTTGTTTTTCGTTTTTGACAATTGAACAACACAGACTAATATCATCTAAATTCTCAGCATTTCTAAACAGTTTTTGATCGCATTTATTATTAAATTTCATAGATCAAACAAATCCAAATTAAATTCGACCTTTTAAACCAAATTTAAAAGAAGACTTTCAGTTTATGCTATAACAGCACCAGAATTTTCTTACTTAATGTGCCACTAAATCCGAAATCAAAATATATATGCTCCAAACTTTGTATAAAAGTACGTATAATACTATCACTCCAACAAGCTGACAAAATATTACTAATTCGTCCAGAATTTGATCAATTACTAAGAAGTTTACGAACATTTCTGTTTAACTACTTAATTTCAGGACTCTCTTTATGTATTTAATGACAGCGTATCATTGAATCGATTGTGTGATCATAGTACCGCCAATTAATCAAATTTCAAACAAAATTATTTTTGTTTCATTTTTTGAGAAGAATATTTAATGAAAATTAACCTAAATTCAGCATGTAATTAAAGTTTTACAGACAAAAATTGATAGATATCTCGTTTTTACGAACGATGACAAAAAAATTTGATTCCTTACATGAACCGCAACAATGATGAAGCCATTTGCTTATTGAATACACACACCTAAGATATGTATTCAATTGATCGCTTTCCACCCTTTCAATATAATTTTTTCTGACGTGTTTAAATTAAATTTTTTTATGTCAGACCTAGATCCAATAAACATTGTAGTTTTTGGATCAGGCGCAGTTGGTAAGTCATGTATAACAGTCCAGTTCACTCAAGCGCGATTTATTGAAGATTATGACCCAACTTTTGAAGATCAATATACAAAATTTGTTGTACATGACGGAATTCGATACCAATTCCATATATTCGATACATCAGGTGAAGAGTTCTTCGAAACCACTCGAGCGCCTTATATAAAGACCGGAAACGCATTTTTAATAATTTATTCAATTGATGACCGTTATTCCTTTTCAGCAGTTGAAAGAATATACAAAACTATCATTCACGTGAGAGGAACCGATGAGATACCAATGGTTATTTGCGGAAATAAATGTGATTTGGAAAAAAGAAGAGTAGTGAAGACAGAAGAAGGTGAAGAACTATGTAATAGACTGAAATGTCCTTTCTTTGAAACTTCGGCTAAAACTTACCATAATATTCATAATGCGTACCATTGTTTGTTAGATAGGTACTTAGAACTGATGAAAATGAAAGAGAATAAACCTAATGACGACCAGGAAGCTACAAATTGCAAAAATCCGGATAAGAAAGATTGTATTCTTATATAATTTTTGTTTATTTTATTTTAAAAGTTTATCTCATGTTTTTTCTATTTATATGGCTATTTTTCTTTTTATTGTTCGCATGCCAAATTCTTAATTAAATTATTTTCTTAATATCATTTTATTGCATGCCAAATCAACACTTGAGGCTTTTGTATAAAGATTTTGGAGATAACATGACTTTATTAAAATTCAAATGATTCGGGATTCTTAAATAAATTGATGTTGAAGCCATTTCTCAATTAGATCGAGAGAATTATATCTGTAAAGGTAATCCACCAAGTTCATTCTATTTAAATCAAAATATTGATCCAAAATATTTTATTTGATATGAAATAATGCAGAAATATTCGAGACAATTATTTACATTCAATCAAATTTTGGATGCGGTTATGCTAACAGCTCCAAAATACTAAATTAATTTGTGAATAAAAAAATTAAGTTAAATTATGCTTTATATGGATTCATTTTTATTATATTTTGAAAAGTTATTGAATAAAACATACCATGCCTCAATAAGTAATTTAGGGAAAAATATATAATTTGAAATTCAGCAATTTATAGCTGAATATCTCACAAAATGCCATACCAAATGCATATCCTATATTACACCTAATCATTCCATCCCAATTCCATATCTTTTCTCTCAAATCTAATGTATTGTTGGGGCATTTTCTATGGAGAGGGTAAATTTGAATACCATTCAAAAGTAAAAATTCACAATTTGTTCGATTTGAACATATAATCTATTATTATATATAATGTAATTAAGAAAAAAATAAAATGACCTGCATATATTAATTATTTAGATTGCAAGATTCAAAAAAGCTATTAAAATTAGAGACTAAATAAATAGCGAATTGATTCATATGGATTTATGTAATTGTGAACATTAAAAGAGTTTATTTATTGATCTAATAAAAAAAGATAAAATATTAATGAGAAAATTGAAAGAATAGAGTGTCCCATTCACTCGTGTTGGTCGCAATGTATCATTCTGGGAGACATTGCCTCTGCATGTCTCCCACAATGGCACAATGTTCCTTGGAGAAAGACCTGGAAGGGGGTCCTTTCTCAAGGTCAGGGCCCCCTTCTAGTCTTTCTGGTCCTGGAAGGAGCGCTTCTGACTGGTCTGTGCGCTGCTTCCAGGAAGATCAGGAGATTGCTCGAAGTTCGCGGCAAGTGCATTCCGACACCACAGATGCACTTGCCGCAACATATAATTGCGAGTGTCTGCTGCTTTGGTCAAAAGAAGCAGCAGACACTCGCAATGCGAACCGAATTGTCCCAGAAAGACCTGGAAGGGGTCCTTTCTCAAGGTCAGGACCCCCTTCTAGTCTTTCTGGTCCTGGAAGGAGCGCTTCTGACTGGTCTGTGCGCTGCTTCCAGGAAGAACATGAGATTGCGCCAATAAGCTCCTATCAACAAATTTTGACTAAAAATATAAAGTATCCTTTTGTGATTTAACGAATAGCTCAATTTTAAAATAGATTTGATTCTAATAATAAATTGAATGAGTTTCGCTTACGTTTAGAATTTAATGATTTATATGATTTTTTCGTTCACAGAAGAGTCATTGATATCCAATATCAAAAAAAGCAAAGACACACCATAATAAATGATATTGAAGCTAAATATTACATATTTCAACATATCTAAAAAATTATTATAAGATTAGATCTCATGCAATGCCGAGCAGTTTCCTAAAGCATAATTACTTATTTATACAGAATCAATTATATAATATTCACATTGCAAATTATATACATTCTCACGAAGCAACATGAAATAGACTGTCCGAATTTGAATTCAAATAGATATCTACTTCAAAAGGATTTCTTACAATATGTAATCTCGATGTTGATCACTGGAATACAAGGGATGCACGTAATTTACAAATTGTTGCAAAAATAGTAGTGCAACAAAAATTTTATTTTTAGCTTGTCACTTGATATATAACAATTGCAAAAACTCAATCAAAAATAGGATTTGAACAACTTTTTAAAATTGTGAGAAAAATTCTATCGGCACATTCTATTCAATTTTAAAGTATTTCTTTCATATTCCAATCGATTATTCAATATTTGCCAATCACAAATTTTAGTTCAAAATTCAAAAAATCTCTAATTTTAATTTCAGATGAAATCTCGCAAAAATAACATTGTTTTAACCATATAAATATATATTTTATATATTGTATAGTGATTTTTTAATATTTTTATGAGTAAAATCGAGAGTGAGGAAATGTGGACTACAAAAAACGATAGAAATGAATAGTTTACATGGGAATTCAATACTTACAAGTATTCAATGTCACTTTTGTGCTCGAGATTTTGACTCTAGTATAAGAACGTGTTTTTGTCAAAAAAACGTTACTTTTGGAATGAGTCAACCATCAATCCTTACGATCGATCAGATCCCAGGGATAGTCAGTTCGATGGGATCTCGCGAGAAGGCAATATCTGTCGTCGGCGAGCTTGCATTGAACTTTTCTACCTTAAAAGAAAATACTATTTCTATTCCTCCAACATTTGTTATTACTTCAGAGTCAAAAAGCATACTTTCGAATAATAAAGGTCATTTAACAGAAGCCTTCTGGCAAGAAATCCTTAAAACAATCAGAGAATTCGATGATAGAACAGGAGCAAAGTACGGAAACAAAAATCCAGCCTTTTACAATGTAGTTGGTGAGATACCAGGAGTATCAATTGTTAACCTCGGTTTTAACGATTTTACAGTTCACGAACTCGAAAGACAAACAAATAACAAAGCATTTGCTTATAAAGCATATTCAAGATTAGTTGCATCATATGCAGCATTAGTTCACTCGATTCCATCCGAATTATTCGATGAAACAATGAAACAATTCATGGTTGCAAGAAATATCTCCGCAATTAAAGATTTCTCAGCACTCGAATGGATCCAAATTACCAAATTATTCAAAGGCATCTTCGTTCATTACGTCGGACGTCCATTTCCTCAAGATCCATACGAACAAATCAAAAATGCCCTCGAAGCAGTCTTAAACTCTAAATATACAATCTCCAAGCAAAAGTATATTGGCAGAATCAACACAGATTTTGTTCCTACTGCTCTTATTCAAAGAGTATATTTCGGAGGAAAAGATTCTCATTCGTCTGTTGTTATTTCCTCAACGAACGAATTACAAACAGGTCGCTGCCAAATCAGCGGTATCTATTATCCGCAATGCGAGCTCTTTGACATAATAAATGGATATTTCCCACCAAGATCTCTTGAAGATTTCGCAGAATCATATCCGAAACCAGGTGAACTAATCAAATCCCAGATGTTCCAGATCTCTTCCCTCTTTAATCATGCGATGACAGCTCATTTCGTTGTAAATGACGACAAACCAGTCGTTATGAACATCGAAAAGACACATTTCTCATGTACAATCGGTTGTGTTGCCGCGATGAACCTTATTGAATCCGGAAAAGATAAACTTGAAGTCATCAAATCGATGATGCCATGTGAATTATCATCAGTCATATCCTCACAAGTGAAGAGTGGTTCAGTTAACTATTTCTGTCGTGGTCTTTCAGGCGCAAATGGTGCAGTTGTTGGCCGTGCATCACTTTCAAATGAAGACTGTTTAGCACGAGTTTCACAAGGTGAGAAAGTTGTTCTTTTCAAACACTCTGTTACACCTGCAGATCTCGATGCAGTTCTTGCAGCTTCAGCCGTTGTCACTGAGAGTGGTTCTGATTTCTGTTTCGCATCAATTCTCACACGATCACTTGGTATCCCTGCAGCTATTGCATGTGGTGATTTAAGTATCGATGCAACACGTGGTGAAATTGTAGGAAATGGAATAACACTTAATGTTGGTGATGAAGTAACAGTTGAAAACGGAGGTGTATTCTCAGAAAGACAAGAACTAACTATCGCACAAGTTAGTGAAGAATCCCAACCTCTTGTTAATTTACTCAAAGAACTTCGTTCTAAATGCGGTTTCCACATTTTAAGCAGCGCTAACAACAGCGAAGAAGTTAAAGCATCAATCGAATGTGGTTGTGATGGAATCGGATCATATAATATTGATTCTATTTTCGAGATCGAAGAAAACAAACAGAAATTGATTGATTTCTTGATCGACATTGATAACAATGAGAAAGAAAAAGAAGTTATGCGTTTAATCATGGATAATCTCACAGAAGCAATGTCGCAATCACCAAATCATATATTCACAATCAAACTGTTAACAAATGGAATTGGTTTCTATCTTCCTAGTGCTGTTGAATCGACGAGAGATGTTGCAGAATTACGTGTTCGCAAACAATACGAAAAAGATTTCAACCGTGATGAAGAGCTTGAAAGTAAAATCAAGCAGTTAGAACTTGTTAAGAAGTACGGCGAATCTAATCCACTTATGGGATTGCGTGGTGCAAGACTTTCCATCAGACATCCAAAGGTTTTCGATGTCCAAGCTAAAGGTCTTTACGGTGCAATTGTCAACACGAACAGGAGTGAAGAATCACCACGTGTTCGAATCATGGTTCCTCTCATGTCTGTGGGTAATGAACTCAAACACATCGAACAACGTCTTGGAAAAATCTGTGACTGTGGAATGGTTGACATCGGTCCACTCTTTGGATCACCACGTTCATGTCTCGCATCTGGAGAGTTCTTAAACATCAGCAACTTCATGTGTGTCGATGTCAAAGGTCTTCAGGAGACAACATTCGGCATGACAGAACGTGACGCGCGTCGTACATTCCTCCAGGAATACGTCGACTGGAGAATCATCGATGATAGTCCATTCGATTCAGTTGATTTTGATGGTGCAGCACAACTGATCAAACACGCAGCATCAAAGTCAACAGACGAAACACCAGTCGGTGTCCTCGGTGACTTCATCGGAAGTAAGACAGACATCATCAACTTCAAGAAGTTCGGATTGAGTTACATCATTTGCAGTTCATCGAAAGTTCCATTAGTTTCTCTTAGCTGTGTTCAAACAATATAAACAATAAAACTTTATTGGATTTATCTAATTTATTTTATATATTTATTTACTTAATTCATGAAAATTTGAATTTCATGAAAAATGATGGCATTGGATTTGTGAAATGAAGTTTTTGTTTAGTGTCTAATTTCCAATACTACTTGAATAGTAAACTTTTTATTCATCCTAAGCTAAGACAAATCAAGTTTTGTTTACCATTATCTCTTTCTTCCAACCTCCGATGTGAAGCGTTATTTTTGAAAGTCGTATTATACGGGTGTTTGGCATCTTTAGGTGAGTTTTATGAAATGAACAAAAATATTGGAAATAAACTGTAAATATATTAATAAAAGGTTATTTTATTGATATAATAAAAATGATGGGAAATGAAATGTTGAATAAAATATGTAACTAGCGGCGACGCATGATTTTTCTTGGAGGATATTCAAAGGGTTTATGTTTATTTACCAATTTGATATCAATACTTTTATTGATAATTGCAAATTCTGCTTGGCAATTACCAGTTGAAAGATGAATCAATTTGTTAGTAAATAGTTCTCTTGGATTAGTAAGTTCTACAGTATTTCTATAAAATGTTGATGAAATCGAATTGTCAATGTAACAACTATCAACTGTTAATTGATCATTACCAGAGTTACGTATCAAAGATGAACCTTCAGAAACAGTGTTGTTAATAAAAGAACAACTTTTTACAGTAAGAGAATTATATTGATGGTAAATAATTCCATTAACTGATTGAGTAGTAGTATTATTTATAATATTACTTGAATCAATCAAAGCGTAATAATAAAAATTTAAAATTTGATATTCTGCTAAATTATTAACAACAGTTAAATAGTTAAATGTTGCTGTGTATTTATTTGATTTACGCTCATAATGTCCAGCAGGATATGATATACCTTTAATTGATGAGAAATTAGTTGTTGAAACTATGATATTATCATATATTACTTCGCAAGCAGAATATCCAACACTTTCATTTCCTACATCGAAAAGGGAACTTTCAATAATAAAGTTTAAGTTATCTGTGCCAATTTCTGTATATGAAAATTGTGCTCCATATTTATATTGTGTTTGGCATTTTGTACAACAGAACTTTCGTTGAACAATTGAACTATTTGTTCCTTTGTAGTAAATGCAACTTCTATATTTTGTTCCAGTACATTTACTAAAAGAACAGCGATTATGTAGGAATAATGTATCAGTTACTTGGGTAAAGTTGATTACTCCGTCATTATTGTCAAAGAAAATACATTCATCTAAGTAATATTGGCCTTTTCCTTGAGTAAGATTGCAGTTTTGGCAATTTTTAGTTTTTTCACCTGAAAATGTACTGTTGAAGTAGATATTCCAAACATTGCCATCTTCATTAGTTAACTTTTTATTTAATATAGCATAAATGATGAATCATTGTGTACTTTTCATTAAATTGTCAAAAAATGCCATTTAAGGATGCGCTCATCATGTCAGATTTTTCATGCATGTATAACTTTTGATGGAATTCAATTAAATTATATTTGATTAAATAAATTTCAATAATATAGCAATTGTAATCATACCTGTGCTTTTGATTTTCGCGTCGATGGCCACATTACACTTTTATAATATGCCAAAATACGCTTGGCCAGTCGAATTTGCTCATAATTTATCGACTTGGAGGTTTAGTATTAATCAAGATATATACCTCCGAAGCGATTTGAACATAAAATACTTCAATGGGACTCTCAATTGCAGCCATTGCAGCTTTAGAGTCAGAAATTCTAAATCAGACAGCACACCCCGCGATTTAATTTTGGGCGGAAGCACGAAAAAAATCGAAAATATCAATTTATTCTTAAGAACGCTACGACATACAGGATGTAAATGTACTGTTGTATTCCTTGTTGACAATGAAGCATACAAAACTTTAACGTCTGAAATGATTAAAGATATCGAACTCTGTGGCGGCCAAATTATCAACATGGGCATTCCAGAGTTCGATATGCCATATAACTACTATACTCTCATATACCTATGGGATTATTACGTTGTGAAAAGAAATTATTATCGATTTGATCGGATTATGAAGTGCGACATGTTCGACACATTATTCCAAGGCGACCCATTTAACGATGCTTTTCAACCTGATAAATTCTACATGATAGAAGAGAAGAAGCCAATTCTTGGTCAATTTCCAAAGTATGAAGAAATTTTTCATGATCTTAGATTAAACCCAACATCGATGTCCACCGTAGCATGTGCGGGAATTTCATTTGGTTACACCCAGCCATTTACAAGAGCTTTGGATACATTCTTCTCTTACTTTGTTTGGGATAAAGAATGGCATGATCAACACCTCTTCAATGTACTGTATCTGTCTGGCTCGTTTAAGAATAATGGTGTTTCATTTGTTAGATATCGATTCATGGAAAGAGTCCGACACATGTACGAAAATAGAAATGATGCTGAGATTGGTTATATAACAGGTATATATAATAACTATATTTATGCTCAAGTTGTTCATCACGTTCATGTTGCTCCAAAACTTTTGGAAAGTATGCTGAAATACTGTCCAAATAATAACTCCGAACTTTTGAACTACGTGACAAAACCACGGCCTGATTAAAAATAATTTGTAACAAAACAGCGACATAAACTGAGAATCAAAAGCGTACTTATCAATTTTTGAATAGTTTACATTTATAATGCTAATGGCGCCTTCACTGAGAGTGAGAGAAAATTATCAAATATTAGAGCTCGAATAAGCTGCACATGCAATATGTTGTATAGTAGCTTCTATTTATGCTTAAATTTCTGGTTTGAAGCTTGAATAAAATTTAGAAATCTTAAATTTTGAAGTTAAACCCGAAAAAATCGTATTAGTTCATACTATATGTATGCCTATTTTATGATTCTTTATTGTTATATCGAATTAGAGAGAATATAAAGATATGTACGTACGTCTTTTGACTCGCAGTTTAATTAGATAATAACTTGTGATGAAACTTTAAAATCAACTGTTTATCATATATCTCTATGTGAATACTCGATCATCTACTATGATGAAAATTCACATCATCGAACTTCACAAAATTTATGAAAATTTAGGTCAGGTAAGTGGGGCTTCCAGGCGCGTTGCGCCCTCTAGCCCCGAAGATGTTTAGTATAAATGAAGTTTTTATTCGGAAAATTGTTAGTCTTCTGGTGTGAATTCGGAGGACTCTTCTTCTTCCTCCATTGCTTCTGGGAAGAAGCCTTCTTCTGGGTCGAAAACATTATATAATGTGTCGCTTTTCACAAATTATATATGTTTTCATGTTTTGTCACTTTTCTGTCACTTTTCGGGTAAAAACATTTTTATTATTATATATAAATGAATTTTACAAAACCACCGTTACCGTTCTTTGGAAATAAGAGTAGATGTAAAGATATTATATTGAGAGAACTTAAGAAACTACCGAATGGTCTAACATTTGTAGATTTGTTCGGTGGAAGTTTCTATATATCCCATTTGTGTCATACAATATTCCCAGACTCAAAGATTATATGCAATGACTTCGACAACTATATGGACCGTCTCAAACATATTCCAGACACAAACAATATATTGAAAGAGTTAAAAGAAAAGATACCTATAGGTAAGATGGAACGTATACCATTAGATAAGAAAAATATTGTGAGAGAGGTTTTGAAAAAAGCAGAATATATAGACTGGGATAGTATATCTGCTAGACTATTATATAGTGGTGCTATAAGAGTTCATGACATTGAAACACTTATGTCAAAAGTTTTATATCTTAACTATACAAATGTTTTCAAAGAGGACATAGAAAAATATATTGAGGGTATAGAGTTTGTGAGATGTCATTGGACAGAGTTGTATGAAAAATATAAAGACAAGGAAAATGTTTTCTTTATAGTGGACCCGCCGTTCTATAACACATGGGATTTTCAATACCAAGTAGACTGGACTTTGAGAGACTCTTTAGAAACTTTAGACGTTATACATAACCATCCATGCTTTTACTTTACATCCGATAAAAGTGGTTTGGAAACCGTTATGAGATGGCTAGAAGATATAAACGACTATGAGTTTAGATATGACAAGATAGAATATGAGAGAGGTCCTATAAACTGGCGAAAGTGTCATAACAAAGAAATTTTATTAGTAAGTAAATGTGGTTTGAAATCGGATTGTTAGTTTTAGGTTTTTTCCATTGTGTCATTTATTTATTTGACGTGGCAGAAAGATATAGAGAATATGAAGATGAACCAATGCCTGCAAATGTTCAGTATATGTACTCGTAAGAGATATTTTTATCTAATATTAAATGGACGCACAGAACTTAGCGAATGCACAGCAACCTGGACAACCAAACCCAGAGAATATTCCAAATGAAGTTAGAATACAAATTGCAATGGCAAACTATGGTCAAGTGCCAACAGATGTACAAATGCAAACTGCCATGTCAAATGACGCTGCGTTAGGTTTGCCACCATGGTATGCAAATATGAGATGGAAAGAGTTTTATACAAACCCTGAAGTGGGATATAAACAACTTTATACAGATGACGCGAACACAGGAGTTGACCCAGAATATGTTTTCTACCAGAGGAGAAACAGAATGTATGAGCTCCAGTTAAAGAATGCTATGGAACTCAACAGGAAACGTAAGAGACTAGGCGGACATTAGATTTTTACATATAGTAAATGGGTTTCTTCAGTAGTATTGGAAACTTCTTCAGAAGAGTTGGAAGAGGTATATGGAATGGAATAAAATCTGTCGGAAGAGGAGTATGGAACGGTGTCAAAAATATTGGTAAAAGAGTAGGTCAGTTTGTTGGTATTATACCTAAAGACCCTGAACCAGAAAAACAAGCTCCTGTTATACAACAGCCTGAACCTGCACCACAGTCTAGTTGGCAACCAAATCCAACACCTCAACCGTATTAAAAAATTATATTTTTATCGTTCGATAGTAGTTGTATATGAAACTAAGTTCTAAGTAAAACGCATGGTATAATGGAATTATTCTTTTTCTTCCATCTGTAGTAAACCATACTTGAAAGTCTGAAATACTTCCACTTGGTGGTTCGTATAACTTTGTAGGTTTTTCGTAAAAGTCATTTGCCAAGCATAAGAAAGAGTTTTGCGCACCAGAAAATGAAGCATGAACAATAATAGCATCTTGGTCGAAAATATTTTCATATGTTCCATTAGGGTTTTCGACTTCATAATAGTCCGGGTGTACTGGATATGCTGCAGGCTGATTTAACATCCTCATAAATCTATACCATGCCAAGTTGTTATATTTTGTAGAAATATAAACGTTTTCTCCAAGGTCTTCTATTTTATTGATTTTAACAGTTGCATTTTTCCTGTCATAAATAATATCGAGATGGTATTCTCCTTCGTCAATGTTATACTGGTTTGCATATTCAATATAGATATCGTTTATTTTTTCTTGAAAAGCTTGAAGAGTTGTTTCTAAGTTTACAAGCAAACTAACTTGTAAAAGTTTTCCTTGTTCAAATTTCTCATACATACGTTTTTCTTTGTTATAGTATCGAACTTCAAAACCGACCGTAAATGGGAAACCATGTATGGCTTCTGAAATGAACTTCATTCTACGAAAGCCAATAGCTTTTGTGACGGATGGGTCTCTTAACCATCTTAATGGGTAGTCAAAACGATAGCCTTCATGCTTTACGGTATCTGTCTCAAACTTTTGACCGACATTAGTAAAAAGTTCATCTAATGGTTTAGTTGTAGCAACTCTTGAATTTTCTTTTTCTATTGGAAGCATATTTTATCTATAATAAAAATGTCAAATGAAACAGCGTCTATGAGAGAAATACAACACAACCGACAACTCATTATGCAAGCTCTAAATAAGAACACAACAAACTTTTCAAACTATTCTAAGATATCTGAGTCATTGAAAGAAGGAAACTTAAAACTGACAATAAACCCAATGACAGATGAGTTTCTGTTTCAAGACAATAAGAACCATACTGTCTGTATAAATCCAACAAAAGGAACTTTAAACGAGAAACCTATAAATGAACTTCTTTTGAAAGCAGATGTTGACAACAAAGCTGACAAAGAATATGTAGACGATGCAATAGCAAAAGAAGAAGAAAGAGCTAACAATGCTTATGCAACAAAAGAACATACTCATCCTGAACTAGCAGACAAATATGTTGACAATAAAATGTCAAGTGAAGTGACAAGAGCTGAAAACGAATATTCTAAAAAGACTCATACACATTCTATATCTGATATTACAAACTTACAAGAAACCTTAAACAGGAAAAGTGCCGTTGGACATACACATTCTATATCTGAAATAACAGACTTAAACGTTAGCCTTGAAAAGAAAGCGGATAAGGAATATGTGGCTAGTAAGTTAGAGAAGAAAGCGGATAAGGAATATGTGGATGAAAAAGATAATGAAATTAAAGAAAGGGTTGAATGGTATCATGAATGGACATCGAAGATTTTAAAAACTAAAGCCGATACAGGATGGGTTTCAGGATGTTTAGACCTTAAAGCAGATAAAACTTATGTTAACGATGAGTTAGAGAAGAAAGCAGATAAGACTCATACACATACAAGTTTTACAACTTTTACAGCAGATGATATTACACTAAACACAACCTTGCCAAGTAAAGGTCCAACAATACCACCGGCAACAAGTCTTGTAGATACTTTGATATCTAATGACAATAGTATTATGCATCTAAGACAGGAACTCAATGTGCTTAAACAAATTTTGCCGAATCTTATTTACCCGGTTGGCTCATTATATGTTTCAATGAACTCTACCAGACCAGAAGTAGTACTTGGTTTTGGAACTTGGACTCAAATAGTCGACAGGTTTTTGTATTGTGCAAACTCTTCAAAGGAAACAGGTGAAGTAAAACGATTTCAGGTGAAAATTTACCTGCACACAGTCACTACATAGATTTAAGTACATCTCAAGCAGGTTGGCATAAGCATAGATATTGGGATTGGTCAGCAATGACAAAAGGTAAAGGATATGATGTTAAAGACAACGTTAAGTTTGCTATAAATTGTTACTGGAGTAACACTGAGGGAGGAGGAAACCATACACATCGCGTTTCGGGATATACGCAAACAACGGGACAAAGTAAAGACTACATGCCACCTTACATGACAGTTTACGCATGGTATAGAATTGCTTAGTCGTCATTTTCAACTTCTTTAGCATATTCGTCAGGAGTTGTCTTATATTTGTTAGGAACTGTCTTTGAAAGTATACCACCTTGAACTTTGACAAGTTTGAAACGAGGTCTGGCAATAGTAGTTTTATCTTCTGCTTGCAGTCTGTACATTTTGCCATGTTTGCCTAAAACTTCATAATATTCTCTTGTATACTTTCTTCTATTTTTACGAACACGAATGTGAGTACCTGTCGAGTTCCCATTGTTGTCATAGTCAATAGTATTTTCATATGGGTCGCGTTTAGGTATTTCTATTTTTACTTTGTCACCTTTCTGAAGTTTGAAGCCCGGCATTCTTTCTTGTTTGTCTCTTTTGACTAAATTATTAAATATATAGTCTTTCTCTAAGTCAGGGTTGTTTTTCATTTCTTCGGGGGA